GAGATACTCTGACTAATGGATGTGATGAGTACTCCAAAAGCTCCCAGCCCTGAAGATAATGTTATCCTCTGAGAGTTCAGTTCGTGAAATCCATACTGATTATGTTTGTCACCTGAGAAAATAATGCAAGAGATAGCCAGTAAGTAAAGACTAAAGAGCCCTATACACCTCTGCCTGCTGACAAGGTGATGTAGGTCTCATTCCAGGGACCTGAACCAGAACCCAGTGTTAAATAGGAAAGCAGCAATGCCCTGTCTTTGGGGGCTGTTTCGCTCAAGGGTTCCATTGGCATAAGCAAGAAAAACAGACGTCCAAAGAAGGATCCAGTCTCCACCATGGTCCCGAGCACAGAAGAGCTGAGTTGGGCAAAGTCCTGGCCCCAGATATAAGTGGGAAGCCTGTGTAGATCATCCGACTTAGGCAACCTCTGCCATCTCCCAAGTGGCCTTTGGGTTTCACCAGAGAGGGAGACCTGAGACTCATCCAATCACTGAAAAGGAGTACACACACACACACACACACACACACACACTCACACACACACTATCAGCTTAAGGGGCTACACGTAAGTTGTGTGGTGTTTTTTTTTTAATTTATTGAAAGAGAGAAACATCAATTTTTTGTTCCACTTATTTATGCATTCATTGGTGGATTTCTATTTTATTTTATTTTATTTATTTTTGGTAATCTTCACCTGAGGATATGCTTCCATTGATTTTCAAAGAGAGTAGAAGGGAGGGAGGAAGGGGGAGAGACAGAGAAAGAGAAACATCGATGCGAGATACATCAACAAGTTGCCCCCTACACGGTTGGGGATCGAACCTGAAACCCAGGCACGTGCCCCTGGCCAGGAATGGAACACACGACCCTTGGAGCTGTTTGACGCTCCTACCACTGAGCTACACAAGCCACATTCTTATATGTGCCCTAACTGGAGATCAAACCTACGGCCTTAGCGTTGGGACAATGCTCTAAACCAGCGGTTGCCAACCTTTCGGACCACACGGACCACCTGTGGTCCGTGGACCACCAGTTGGCGACCGCTGCTCTAAACAACCGAGCTACCCAGCCAGGGCCTACACATTGGTCTTTAGTGAGTTTGTTTGGTGTGACTTAGGACCTACACTAGATGGTCTGCTATAACACACATTTTCTAAAAGCAGCCCTTGTCCAATCAAATCCATGACTATAGTGGGAGTTGCCATGTTTGTATGATGTGAGCAATCCGTGGCCAGGGTTTAATGAACAAGAGCCGGACACCTGACCCAGACCAAATCACTGTGCACATTTCTTCAGGAACTCTGCGTCTCTCTTCAAGGAGCTAGATTACAGGGTATACCCATGGCAATGGGACCAAGACATGGAGACAGCTGATGTGCAGAGAGGGGAAGCTGCTGACTCACAGGGCCAGGTGAGGGTGAGAGAAAAAAGGGACCCCAGAGCCCTGGGTCCAAGCTTTATCCTGGAGCTCCAGTGCATCCTATCCTTGGAGCCAGGATCTTCCCCATACATTCCCTCTTTGGCTCTAAACAGCCGGAATAGGTTTCTGCCGCATCCATCCATCAGCAACCAACCTAAGTATCCCGAGGGACATGCCCAAGGGGCCCATGCCCAGCCCGCTTCCCAACATGGGAAGCCCTGAGCCCAGAGAGCCCATCTGCCCTGCTCAAGAGGACATTGCTGCCTAGCTGAAGCACTGGGCAGACCCAGGGAACAAAAGATGCTCGCCTGAACTTGCAGCCCAGGGTGGGGCTTGACTTGACTGACCCATAGGATGAGGACAGAGGAACATCCGCTGACCCTCAAATTGTTGAGGTTCTCAGGGATGTCTCATGTCTCTCTTCCCGCTTCTCTCAGTGTGGACAGAAAGCAGGGAAGTCCAGGAGGGTCAGAGTCCTGTCTGAGTTCCCAGCCAGGGTGCTGGGCAAAGTACGGGCTCAGTGCACATAGAAGGAAAGGGGACAGGAAGACAGAAGGAGGTATGGAGGGTATGACAGCTCAGCAACTGAGAAAACAACGTGGCATTTGGGAAACCACCATTAGTGCTAGGTGGCTAGCCTCCAGGTCCTCCAGAGATGACCCGAAGGATAAAGCTAGCACATGCAAGCCAGTCTAATTCAACCAAGTTACCATGGGAACAAGAGTCAGCAGAGAGAAATGACCTCAAATTAGCACTGGTTATTTAAGGCAACTTTAAGATTTTCTTTGCTTTCTGTAGCTATAAAGATGAATGAGCCCAGAGAGTCATTGCATTATAGCAACATCCTATAGCATTATAGGAATAACCTGCGTGATTCACAACAACATAGTGGGCCGTTCACTTATTCATTCAACAAATACAGCTTCTTTGTGGGGGGCAGTCCTGGCCAGGGGCACGTGCCTGGGTTTCAGGTTCGATCCCCAACCGTGTAGGGGGCAACTTGTTGATGTATCTCGCATCGATGTTTCTCTTTCTCTGTCTCTCCCCCTTCCTCCCTTCCTTCTACTTTCCAACATGTCCATCTGCTCCCTGAGAAGATGAAGATACGGAAAAAGGGCTGCAGGGCCGTACCCCAAGTGGGAGCTTCTTTGTGGGGGGCAGTCCTCTGCCTTGGCTGATGTTTTATGTATAGTTTTGAAAGGGTGATAAACACCCTCACCCCATCGAAGGGGGAGCCAAGTGGCAGGGCTGTAAACCAGCTTCCAAGGCTAAGGTTGAAGAAAACTCTGACTAGGGTTCACATATAAAACAATTATCCTTCTTTTCAGAAACCCTGGCATTTTCTAGGGGCATTTTTGAGATGAATGTGAAAGGGGATAACCTAGTTCTTTGCCAGTTGCCACTGAGCCCAAGTGCCACTGCTGGGACTGATGCCACACCCTGTGCACCTGGCCCTCCTCGCCAGCTTGCACCTGGGGCCCACCAGCCTCACCACCCAGCGGGTGAAGCCTGCTGGACATGCTCGTGACCCACGAGCCCCCAGTGGTCATCCCATACCTACAGGATGACAGCCTGGGCTGGTAGACTACTCCAGAGGCTGATTTCTCATAACCAAACTGACCAGCATGTGCAGGAGATGGAGTGTGGAGACAGACTTTACTGTATGCACCTGTGATGATTAATGTTATGTGTCAACTTGACTGCACTAAGGGATGCCCAGATAGTTGGGTGTCTCTAGAAGAGATTAGCACAGTAGACTGAGAGAAGATCCACCCTCACCAATGTGGGTGGCATCACCTCATCCAATCCACTGATGGCAGAATTCTCTCTTCTGCCCTTGGCCATCAGAGCTCCTAGTTCTTAGGCCTTTGACGCTGACTGAATTACACCATTGGCTCTCCTGAGTCTCCAGCTTGCAAATCATGGGATCTCTTGACCTCCTATTTAATCCTTCTAATAAATTCCATATATATCTATATACATCCTATTGGTTCTGTTGTTGGAGCACCCTAATCCTATCTAATAATAGACAAACATGGTAATTGACCATACCTTCGCTACACCTCCCATTGGCTAATCAGCACGATATGCAAATTAACTGCCAACAAAGATGGCGGCTAATTTGCATACTGCAGGCAGGGTGGGACAGCGCCATCCCGCCTGCCCCACCGCCATCTGGGCCTGCTATTTGCCACCTGGGTTGGTGGGGCAGGACAGCGCCATCCCGCCTGCCCTGCCACCATCTGGGCCTGCTATCTGCAACCTGGAGCGGTGGGCGTCTGTGTGCAACCCGACCCAGGGTGGCCGGGCAGGGCAGCGAAGGCTTGAAGGCGGCTCTGGCCTGAGCAAAGGCCTGGGTCCTGGTGCCAGAGGAAAACCAGTGCCGGCAGCCAGGGGAAGGGAAGGCCTATTGCACGAGTCTTTTTGTGCGACCTCTAGTACAGTAATAAAAGGCTTGCCCCTGGAACTTGCACCTCAATAGTGCACCCCAACCTTCAAAAGCAGCAGAGCCTCGTCATCCATGGTGGGACACCCTCCCCCTCAGGCCATCCCTGGGGCCTACTCTTCAGGAAGGACAGCAGGCCCAGGCTTGCTGGCATAGGGAGAGGGGTCCTCAGGATTGCCTCTGCCTCTCACTGGCCAGGTCTCCCCAGTAGCTGCTTTCACTCTTTTGTCTTGTCCCCCCAGCAGTATCATAAGGACCCCTCTGTCTTTTTTTAAAATATATTTTTATTGATTTCAGAGAGGGAGAGGGAAGAAAGAATCAACAATGAGAGAGAAACATTGATTGGCTGCCTCCTATACGTCTGGGGATAGAGCCCGCAACCCGGGTATGTGCCCTTGACTGGAATCGAACTGGGACCCTTCAGTCCGTAGGCCGACGCTCTATCCACTAAGCCAAACCAGTGAGGGCCCATTCTGTCTTGCTGGTGAACTCGATGCAACACATTTTGGTCTCCCTGACAACAGGGAGCACCTTTAAATAGCAAAAGGTGCTCCCTCTGCCAGGTGGCCTCCCGGGTGGGATGGCCATGGGGTTTCCCTGCCACTCCCTTGCACATGTTGAGGAGCGGTGGTCTCCTTTCATAGAATGAAGGGACTTGAACAAGGGACAAGTGAGCATGGTCTTCTGGGGCACAGAGCTCACACTCAGCCCCCTAATGGCAGTAGGAACCGACCAAGAGCAAATGGAGACCTTGCAGGGGGTTCAGGCATTAGATAGGAAGCATTTTCTAAACTCTTCACAGGAAAAAGATAGGAAGGAAACACTAAATGACCGGATCACAGTGATTCTTTTCAAGTATCTTCCTTTTCCTTCTAAAAAATTTTGCAAAATCCAATGAATAGATGTTTTACAATAAAAAATATTATTCTTTAAGGAAATGTATTTTCTGGCAAAGCTCTAGGATCTGTGCTTATACAAATTGGTGTACCAACAAGGAAGGATAGAACTGTGTGTGCCTAACCAGAGGGCTGACCTACAGTTCTGAGGGGCTTGAACCTTGAGGCAAGGATGGTGGGGGCGGTCATCCCAGAAGCCTGCTCCAAACTTGGCTTCACAGTGTCACTGAACTGTGAACTGAACTGTGAACTCCTGGGCTATGCCTTCACATACACACCTCCTCAGATGGGACAGGAAACAGGCAGGAGGCGGCCAGCCCAGGCTGGGACTAGGCAGAGCAGGATAGCCCCTAACCCTAGGTCAGAAGGGAGGGATGTACCCCAGCAACTGGTCTGCATCTCCACTCTTGAGGGAGCTCTGGAATGCCAATCACCCGTTGGCAGATATCTGTGTGGTGCGGGCGGGTCATCAGGCTGGGCTCACTGCCTGGTCACTCCTGCCCATGCACAGGAGATGGGCCATGGGAAGGGGATGGGAACACAGAATGGCCCTCAGAGGAGGGGTGAGTCTCTGCTTCAGCTGCTCTGCTGGGGTGGTTGGTTTGGAGTTCTCAGCTGGGTGAGAGGCAGGTCCCAGGAATCCAAGAGTGGGTTGTGAACCAGCCTCCCCTTCAGAATGCCTTCTTCGCTTCAGCTGTCCAGCTCCTGTCAGAAATGCCAGCAGACACCAAGGTCACAGAGTACTGAAGCGCACCAGGGCCCACCTCCTGCACAGCCTAGGAAACTGTATCTGCCATCTGGGCAGCACCCACAAGTGGCCGGGAGACAGCAGTGGACAGCTAAAGCTAAGCCTTGTGTATCCCCTGGGGGGCAGACACCAGCGGTCCCCTTCTGCCCTCCCAGAACTCCCCTAGATGAGTGCTCCTCACCCCAGTGGATGGTTTCCCAGCCCAGACTTCCCCCCACCCCCACCTCCAGCTGCCTGGTCGCTCACGGGCACTTCAGAACATGGCTGATGGCAACCAAAGCACAGAGGGCCTCAGAAGAGGGGCTTCTCAACATCACTGTGCTCACAAACCCGTCTCCAGGAAGGATGATGGGGGTCATCGCAGAAGCCTGCTCCAAACTTGGCCTCACAGTGTGACTGAACCGTGAACGCCTGGGCTATCCCTTCACCATACACACCCCCTCAGGTGGGACAGGAAACAGCCAAAGTCTAGGACATTCTACCACCACCCTGTGATTGTGACCCAGGAGGTTTGATGAGCATAAGTGTTCCGAGGCATGGGTTGGGCCTCAGCCTTCCTCAGAGGAAGCTGCTGCTCAGAGAACCAGGATAAGCAGGCTTCATGGACCAGCTACACCACTGGGACTGGGGGAGGGGGGGAGGCAGAGAGCAATGGCACCCTTGCATGGGCTCAGACAGCCCTCAGGCCTCTGGAGAGGGTCACCGAGGGGCACTCCCAGGGAGAGAGAGAATTCCCGTCTGCCAGGCAAGCCATGCCCACCCTGGTTTGCAGAAAGGCCCTGAGATCTGGGGTAGAGCTTCATTGGGCTGGGCCCCCTCCCAATACCACCCAAGAAGACCCCTCCCCAGCTTGACCTACACATGGCCTGGTCTGTTGGAGTAGTGGAAGCCCAAACATGCCCAAGAACATGTCTAGAAAGATGCCCAAGGAATTGAGTGAAAACGTATCAGGGCCCAAACAGTGACCAAAAGCCCACAGGGTGGGGCCTTGGGAAAGGGCCATGAACACAAATGACACCCAGAAGGTGGGAGTGGCACATCACCTAGAGCTTAGCAGAGAAGGATGCAAAATCCGCCAGCAGCTTCAAGTCATTAGGGAACGTCAGCCACGCCCCGCCATCAACCACCAGCAAGGCCCCTGTCACGTAGGATGCCAAAGGGCTGGCCAGGTAGAGTACACTGTGGGCGATCTCCGTCTTGTTCCCCAGCCTCTGCAGGGGGCTGGCCAGGATCTTGCTGGTGTGGGGACCACCTGGGAGGTCAAACCCTGTGAGCCACAGGATCTCAAGGCCCTCCACCCTCCCCGGCCCAGCCTTCTCTAAACCACATCCGAGAACGTTGTGGGCACTATTAGCACCATCCTCGCAGAGCGGGGACAGGCCAGGTACCGAGTAACACTGCCAAAGAACCAGCATAGGGCTTTTTGATGGACACCCTGCCAAGGTTCTGGAAGCTTCAATGGAAGCCCCGCTTTGGTTCTGACTCAAACATCAAGGTCAGTAGCCCTGTGGCCTCGACCTCCAGGGAGCGGCTTCCCAAGTCTGGTTAATCCTTAGTCCATTGCAGCTGTGTGCTAACCACAAATGGCTCCTTGCCAGCCCCAGGGAGTCATGAAAATTTGGCACTTGTCCCAGCCAGGTGAGAGGGAGCCCAGGGAGGCACTGTGGAGCCGGTACCTAGGAGAGCATCCAAGAGGGCCTGGGCTTCCTGAGAGCCTTACCTAGCCGCCGGATGCCCTCCGTGCCACTGATAGGGCCGGGGGCAAGGCTGTTGACTCGGATGTTCTGTGGACCCCACTCCACAGCCAAGTGCCGCGTCATTGCATCTGCATGGAAGGAAGGCAGGCATGAGGGAGAATGCAGGGCTGCTTGGACTTCTGGGGTGGCCTGGGTTGAAGCGGGGACTCAGGGCCAGAGCTGGGCCTCTCCACTGCCCACTCAGACACTGTTGGCCTCCAGGGACAGGCAGAAGAGGGACCCTAAGGCACCCAGGAGAGCAGACCAGACGGGGTGCCATACCCACGGCCGCCTTGGCAGAGCCTGCGTGCACTTGGAGCACCTGCCCCCGGGTACCCAGGGTTGCGGTGATGTTCACGATTACTCCTCCATGGTCCTGCAACACATGGTGGACACAGGGGGTAAGGGGGTGTGAGGGGGGCGCTTGTCAGCGAGCAGACCACCAGAAGAGGGGAGGTCCCAACCAGAGAACACTCACCCGGAAGAACTTCTTGTAGATCACGTGAGACACATTGAATGTGCCCAAGGTATCGATGTCCATCACAGTCTTGAAGGCATTGAAGGACAATGAGCTGGCTGGGCACAGGAAGTTTCCGGCTGCACCTGCAGGATGCAAGCAGACGAGACAGGGATGGTGCAGGAGCCCTGGGCAGTTAGAGCATACAGACTTCAGGATGGCACAAGCTGGACAGGGAAGGAGGCTTGAGATCGCCTCTGACTCTGATTCAGCCAAGTTCACACTGAAATGACTTGGAAGGAACAGAGTTGGGCCAAGACAGTGGCCCGGAGCCCGGGATAAAAGTTCTGGGACTTCCAAGAAGGAAGGTCTAGTATCGCTGACTCATCAGAAAACCCCTGGCCTAGCTTAACGGTGACTCACAGTTTATGAGAATGTCGATTTTTCCAAACTCCTTCAGTGCCTGGTCCACGGCAGCCACGATGGCTGGGGGATCTCGGACATCCATAGACAAAGGGAGGCATCGCTGGCCAGTGGCTGCAGCCAGCTTTCTGGCAGCCTAGAAGCCAGACAGGAAGGGAGAGAAGAGGTGGGCATCGGCCCAGTGGCCTCAGCCTAGAGAGAACAGCCCTTCAGCATCCAAGGAGGATGTGTCCAGGTTCTGCTGGGAAGCCAGGGTTTGTTGCTGGACTCCACTCTTGAGAGATGCAGCTGGCAGGTAGCCATTCCCTGGGTCCACAACCCCTCGTGGACATTTCTAAGAAATTCAACACTCCTCCCTCCACATCACCTTCCAGGCCACTGGTCACGGGTCAGTGGCAGCTCTAGCGGACTTCCAGTCCCTGCCCAGAGACCCACTGTGGCAGGGGTGAGACTTTCCTCCGGGGTGGGTAGGACATGTGGACCGCTATTATAACCCAGCTGAGCTCAGAGATCTCTCCTAGCATCAGTACCACTCAGCATGAGGGTCCCTCACAGGACCCAATAATTAAACGTTTTTAAAAGCCAGGTGTTTTCCTGGGAGACAACCTCCACCGAAGCTTGATATTTGGAAGAGGAGCAGCTTTTGGAGTCAACATCCTCTGGGCCTCAGGACCCTCCAGGTCCAGGCTCTGGGTCTCCACAGCCACCCATGGATGGGGTAGGCACAGTAGAGACAGCTTACCATTGATACTCTCGGAAAACTTCTGCTGGCAATGACCGTGTGGCAGCCGTGCCTGCAAAGCCAGAGGGCAGGAGTGAGGGTGGCAAGGTGCAAGAGATAAACCCAGATGGGCTCCTGCCCAGAGCTCTAAGCAGAGCCCCCTTCCCCCAAGGGTCTCTTGGGCTGAAACGCCAGCCCAATGTTGAAGGTACAGCTGTCAGAGGACACAGGGGTCTGAACACAGCTAAGCCACTGTGGTGAGACTTTAGATGGCTGCCATTAGTCCCACTCCCAGCATTTCTGGGCTGGCCTCTCTGGCATCAGGATACAGGCCTTGCCCCAAACTCCATGTGCACAGCACCAAAGCAGCTGTGAACATCAAGTGGGGGCCCAAGCATTTGCATGAGGCCTTCTGGGTCCCCCTGGCATGGCCCCACGTGCCCCTGTCCTCTCTCCCTGTGATGTTGGAGAAATGGACAGAAAGCCCATTCTGAGGTCAGGGCACCTGCCCTGTGTTGAAGTATGGTAGCAATCATCTCAGGTAGAAACTATAGTTTAACTTTAACCCTGCTGTTTGGTTTCTGTGCTTATTTGTTTACTAAAATAATAGAAAAGTTATTTTAGTTTTCTGAATTATATAAATCACCCCATTTGATTAAATACCCTATTGATTGTAATGTGAAATCCCATTGGTTGTGGTCATACTGATATTAGAAAGCACATTTTCCTTTACCTGGGAAGGACAGCACAATTATCCCATGGTCAGAGAGCTCCAGATATCGTGTCTCTGTTGACTCAGTGGTCCCAAGACCCGAGGGCTCTAGATAATGTGTTTCTGTCAACTCAGTGATTCGGAGACCCAAAACTATAATTTAGATAACATGCTGCTTCTGCTTCTGTAAACTGCTTTTTTGCAAACCAGGTTCCTCATTCCAAACCTTGGGATGTAATCTATACCTTTGTGATCTTTGCCTATATAAATCTGGTGTTGCGGCCATCTTATCACTATGAGATTTGGGAAATGCCCCCTCATAGTCCCGGATTTGCAATAAATGTGACTCTTTGACTTCTTGAGGCATCCTTGTGTGATTCGCGGGGTACATTACAACAGTGTCACCTCCTCACAGTGTTGGTAGTAACAATAGCAGCTATCACCTTCTAAGCAGGTTCTACCTGCTCCTCAGAATGACCCTGACCAGCTAGTCATACTCTGTTCAGAGAAGCAACATGCCCAAAGCCACCAGTTTGGCAAAAAGTTCACCTAGAACGAATGATTCCCAAAATCTTGTCCAGGGGGGCTCACCTCCCTGGTATGAAAAATGAGGGTCCAGGAGAAACTGGAGAGGGTCCCTAGGATATCAACAGGCTCCCTCTCCCCCAACCCCAGCCTAACTCTGGGCCTTCCCCAGGTCGGGGTGATAAATATTTGATTTGGGCCTGAGGCCATAGAACTTGTGTCTCAAGAGACACTGTGTTCCACATGCAACTGGGCCCTCCATGACTCTGGCTCACAGCCAGGCCCCAGGGGGCTCGGCAAGAGAGTTACCTCACGCTGTTGAACCCTCCCTCTTTGTACAAATGAGGGTGCTCAGACCACAGCCACACAGTCTCCACTGAGGTCTGGGAGAGGGCCCTGGAGTCCTGCCTCCCCTAGGACAGCACTTGACGCCTTTCAGATGTTCTTAAATGGCTCATTGCCTAGAGGAGATCCCACACCCACCAGCCTCTTCCCGGGAATCCCAGGATCCAGCGGGAAGGTGTGAGGAAGTGTGAGAGTCAGTAGTGGAGATGGGGTGGTGGGCACAGGTGAAACAGAGGAGTTCTCACCTCATAAAAATCTCAGCAATCCGGAATCCGATCCCAGAGCCACCGCCTGTGATGAAGGCGACTTTGTCCCTGGGGGAAGAAAACACGAGGCTTTTTTGGGGGTGGGGGCAGCCAGGGAGAGGTCAATGGGGAGGGAGGGGGTAAGGAGACTTAGGTAATACTTTAAACAATAAAGAATTAAAACAACAACAACACGAGGCTTTTTGGGGGGTGGGGGCAGCCTGGGAGAGGTCAATGGGTGTGGGGGGGAGACTTACGTAATACTTTAAACAATAAAGAATTAAAACAACAACAACACAACAACAACAACAACACGAGGCTTTTTAAAGATATCCCCGTAAACTGGGGAGTGGGGGAAGGCTGTGGCTCTGGGAGGACTTTGACCCTACGAACTGGGCACTTCTATCACATTTAGACTGGTAACAAATAACGTGGATGATTTTTGTAAGAAAATAAAACGCTAAAGCCTGCATGCCTAGGCTTTCTGGGTCTCCGGGCAATCCTATTTCAGCCTCAAATTCTCTGTTCATAAAGTTGTCAGTTCAGTGAGTAATGTTTTCAAAACATACAAGCCGTCCTCCACCTGCCCCTCACTCCCACCCTCCCTCCCTCCCTCCCAGAACTGCCATTCGCAACATCCCCCGGCGCTGGCCAAGCCAAACAGAACGCGCTCTCCACAGTGCAAGGATCAAAGTCCCGGAGCACTCGGACGCCCCGAACCCCGGGCCCCACTCCCGCGTTCCTGACCCCGCTCCCGACGGCAGACCAGGACGAGGCCCTCACCGGAGCAGGTCCGGGCAAAAGAGGTGGCGGTACTCCGGGAGGCAGTCGTCCTCGCTGACATCGGGCGGCGGCTGGGCCATGGCGCTCGGTACGGACCCGCGGCAGCGAGGACAGCAGGGACCTGCTTCGGATCAGAGCACCAGCTGCCACCACCAGGACTAGCGGCGCTCTCGCCACGTCACTTCTGAGCACCGGGAGAGTCCGGGGAAACGGAGGTCCCGCCCCTCGCCGCCACCCCTCCCGCAGGCGTCCTCGCTCCTCCCAGGACGCCCGGCCCATAGATGCCTCCTCGCTCCGCCCAGGACCACCGCCCCCCTCCCCGTTAGCCCTACCCAAGGCTGCCTCCCAGCTTTTTCCAGGACATCTTGCAGCTCTGTGGCCACACCACCTGCTGAGAATGGGGGTGGCTGGTCTATCCCAGAACCGCGGCAGCGCGAGCGCAGTGCTGCAGGCGGATTTCTGCGGCCGAGGCCAGGTGAGTGGGCTTCCAAACTGTCCACAAGACTACGTCCTCTCCACAAGACTGGGTGTTAGTACCGTGGTCGGAGCCAGCTGGATACAGCGGACACTCCTTCCCGGGTTAAGGTCAGGCTGGCCCAGCTGTGCATTTAAAACAGCTGGTTGGGAGAGCATGGGGGGGGGAGGATGGGGGTTAATGGGGGGGGGGGAATGAGGACACATTTGTAATTCCTTAACTAATAAAGAATTTAAAGATTAAAAAAATAATAATAATAAAAATAAAACAGCTGGTTGGGAAGTGCTCAGCGTTTAAAAGCCCTTGCCTCCCAGACACCTGCCTACCCTGCTGCATAAATATCAAAGAGGAGTAGGGAAGGAGACTTCGGCCAAGGAAAGCCTCAGTAAGGCCTCTGCTTCACTTGTCCAGGCCCAGTGCCAGTTCCTAAAAGGACCCGTTTCAAGAGCGATAAATGTCAGGGCAAGGACCAGGCCATCCTTCATCAAGAAGGAAAAAAAGCCCTAACCGGTTTGGCTCAGTGGATAGAGCGTCGGCCTGTGGACTGAAAGGTCCCAGGTTCGATTCCGACTAAGGGCATGTACGACTAAGGGCATGTACGTTGGTTGCGGGCACATCCCCAGTAGGAGGTGTGCAGGAGGCAGCTGATCAGTGTTTCTCTCTCATCGATGTTTCCAACTCTTTATCCCTCTCCCTTCCTCTCTGTGAAAAATCAATAAAATATATTTAAACAAAAAAAAAAGGAAAAAAAGGCCGGGCAGGTGGCTCAGTGGTTGAGCATCAACCCATTGACCAAGAGGTCGCTGGTTTGATTCCAGGTCAGGGTTTGATCCCCAATAGGGGGCATGCAGAGGAGACAGCCCAACAATGTTGATGTTTCTCTCTCATTGATGTTTCTATTTCGTTGATGTTCCCATCTCAAAAAAAACCTAAAAAAGAACTTTAAGAAGGAAAAAATATCAAATGAGGACCAAGCCAGCCCTAGCTGCCCTAGCTGGTTTGGCTCATCAGATAGAGCGTCGGCTTGCGGACTGAAGGGTCCTGGGTTCGATTCCAGTCAAGGGCACATGCCTGGGTTGCAGGCTCGATCCCCAGTAGGGGGGGTTCAGGAGGCAGCAAATCAATGATTCTCTCTCATCATTGATGTTTCTCTCTCTCCCTCTTCCTTCCTCTCTGAAATCAATAAAAAATATATTTTTTTTAAAAAGAAAGAGAAAGGACCAAGCCAGCCTTAACAGATGTAATGATGTGTGATGTGCAGTGTCCAGTACCTGTCAAGAGTGAGTAGGGACACCTGGGGACTAGGGGTGAGATGTAGTGTCAACATAAAGACAAGTAAACACCAGGCAGCCTCGGCCACATGAAGCCATGAAGAGCGGAGGAGGTTATCGTCACCAAGCTTTCTGCCCTGAGGGTGGTCTTAGCCACCACCTCCCCAGCCACCCCTTCCTGCCACCCTCCAGTCCTGTCCAAGGCAGGAAGCTCCTCTTCAGCGGAATCACAATGATTTGGTGTTGGGACAGCACCAGCTTCAGGGCCCAGCGTGGATTCCCCCACATTTCAGGTTGGAGGTCTCTGGTTCTCTGCCTGAGTCATAGGTTCTATGGACCCTCTGCTGGTTTATACAACCTTGTGTAAAGGCCTCATTAGGCCTTGTGTAAAGCCACCGACATAATGAGCGCTCCACTCCCATGCACAGCACAAGGAATTTTAATGTCTCCCCTGTGGGGGAGGGGAGGTTAAACCACTTTTGGAGAACCCCCCCCCAAAGGTGGTCTGGCATTTTGGTATGGAAAGGATTTGGTCCAATCTCTTGCTGGTTTCAGCTACCAAAAGGCACATAAAGTTGGCTCAACTGCTCTGGGCTGAGGCCGACGGTGAACAGGGAAGTGGTCTGGGACAGATGGGCAGAGCACAGTGTGGGCTCAAGTTCTTGTGGACAGAGGTAGTTGGTCCTGGGTGGATGCTGGGGGCAGCCTAGGGCAGCCTGAGGTTCAGGCTGTGTAGAGGCTGCTCCGGTGGCCTTCGTCTGCCCAGTCAACCAGCTCATTGCTCTGGAACCACAGCTGGATCTCCCGCTGGGCCCCCTCCACGGAGTCGCTGGCGTGGATGATGTTCCTGTGCCAGGTAATAGGTAGCAAAGGTAAGGCACAGGCTTCCACATGCACCTGGGAGGTCCTGGGAAAGGTCTGCTGATTCCCTACTGTCCAGAGGAGCAAGCTGATTATGCAGAGGGGAAAGGAAGAAGAGGGGAGCTAGAAAACTGGGTTCCAGGCCTCTTACTCATAACCTCATGGACCAGCCCAGACTGTTACTGGGAGCCTCATTTTCCCACCAGTCCTCCCTCAGAGTATCTGGCAAGCTAGAGTCAGACAACAGACAATGATGACGGAGTACATACACAACGCTCAGGGAATACTTTATCTCCCTGAGACTAGCAAGTAAGAGGTGTGATATCCCACATTAAAAGTCTCTTCTGGCTTAACTTCCGCCCAGCAAAACAATGCGCTTGTGGCTGAGCGTGCCAGGGCCCCGGTACCTGCTGATGTGGAAGCTGAAGTCGCCTCGAATGGTGCCGGGGGCAGCCTCAGCTGAGTCCGTGTGCCCTATCATGGCCCTTGAGGTACAGACCACATTGGGGCCTTCCCAGACCTGCAGCACAGAGATAAAGGTCAGGAGAAGGGGGATCACCAAGGGCTCAGCAGCTCTAGGCTCAATCCAGGGCCCTCCACCCCTTCCACCAGGTCATACCATGGCCACCACGGGGCCAGAGCTCATGTAGCTGATGAGGGCTGGGTAGAAGGGCTTCCTCTGAAGGTCGTGGTAGTGCTCAGCAAGGATGCTCTCTGGCGCCTGTATTGGGAGAAGGAGTGAGAGGAGTCCCTGGAGAGGGAACCCCAGTGGGCACTGGGGCAATGACTTTGCAGAAAACACCTAATGAGCCGGCATGTCAAGCACAGCAGTGCAGGAGATACCAACTCCACCTCTCCATCCCTCCCCTTCTACTTCCAACAGGACACTCCTCCTGGAGCAGGACTGACATGAAGGGCTGAGGTTCTGAGGTCCGGAAGAAGCCCTCCCCCTAGTGCACTGAGGGACACCCACAGGCCAAGAGCCCTGGTACCTGAATCATCTTCATCCCCACCAGCTTGAAGCCCCTCCTCTCAAAACGCCGGATCACATCCCCAACAAGCCGCCGCTGCACCCCATCTGGCTTCACGGCCACCAGGGTCCGCTCCCGGGTCCAGGAGGGCCCTCCTTTAGAAGAGGAGGGTTCAGGGATGCTGCCTCACCTTTTCATGTCTCCTGACCTGTGTTCCCCTGCCGGGACCCAGATGTCATCTGGGCTACAGTGTCTGCCTCCGCCAGAGCGGCTCTGGAGGGGGTAAGTGTGGTGCCCACAGCCAGGAATTGCTCAGCATGGCGCTGCCTGTCAGGGATAATCAGGGCACTGGATTCCTGGGGGCTTCCAACCTGTTGGAGGGGCCATAGCTCCCTCCCAGGCAGTAGCAGAAGCTGCTCATGATGGAGCTGGTGTCCCCTGAGAGCCAGGAGACCCAGGGATGACTCACTGGAAAGAAAGCATGACTCCTGGCCTCACTTTTGACTCCTGTCCTTGGGGGTGATAGCACAGACACTGCCACATCACCAAGGACCCAGAGCCCATCTTCTGGGTCTGAGGTGAAAGAATAGCAGAGAGCCAGGGAGAAATGCAGTATGTTCTCCCCACCGGGTAGGCCACAGACACCAGGACAAAGGGACCCGGGGGATTGAGGAGGAAGGTAGAGAGGTTCCTGTCTGCAGGTGAGGAAGCCTGGAGGACTTCTCTTACACCTCACTGGCCAGGCAGGAGCTCTGTGCTGCTGTGAGGTTTTAAGGCGGGAGCTTCCAGAGTCAACGAAAGCACTGAGCCCGGCCCCGACACAGCTAAGGAGATGGGAGGCTGCATCACCCTCCTGCAGCCCAAGCCACCTCTGAGTTATGCAAACCCACAGCACTGGATCCAGGCTCAAATGTGCTTTTGACAAGAGCCCAGACCCTGGATGTCCTGCAAAGTCCTTCGGAGACAGAACTGGTGGAGAAATGAGAATAAGACTGGAGCCAGCCAGCGTCCCAGGGGGCATCTGCAGCTGCCATTCCTCATCCCCAGGAGGAAAACTAACCAAAACCTGTGCTGTGGGTGACCTGCTGGCACATCCTTTCAGGGCCAAATGAGGCCCACTGGGGAAGAAGCCCCCTGACTTGCTTGTTCCCCCCAAATCCAGAGCCTCGGGACCTGCTGTCTAGCCTGGCCTGGGAAGATGGCAGTGCACTCTGGCCAGCGTTTGGAACACATGGCATCTGGCTCTCAGTCAGGGGAGAGGACCGGTTACAGATAAAGGCCCCAGGGCCCCAAGGAGGTCCTGCCAGGCGGACTTAGGGCCTAGAGAAAACACCACAGCGGTTCCGAGGGAGGAGTTTTCATCTGCGGAGAAGGACTTCCCTCTCAGGAGCCCCAGCTCCGCAGGGATGCCATCGCCACCCAATGCGGCCACTAGGCCTCTGGCTTCCTTCTGCTCCAGAGTCCCTGGGTCCCTCTGCCCCGAGGAAACCTGGGGAGGTGGGCAGCACGCGTGGGGGGTTGGAGGGCAATGAGAGGGGTGGGAGGGATGCAGGACCCCGGCCCGCCCCAGCAGGAACCCAAGGAGCGCGCCTTCCGGGACTTCGATCGCCCCCCACACCCGCTCGGCGTCCCAAGGTTTCCCAGCGAGTCAGGAGGACTGCGGGGTCTGGGCCCCCGGCCTGTGCGCCAACCACGGCTAGGAGGCGCCTGCTGCCGATCCCCTCCCCCGACTCACCCGAGCAGGGGCGCACGAGCAGGCTGGGCACCCAGGCCCGCGAGCCGCACACCACCTCCCTCAGCACCGCGCGCCCTAAGAGGCCGCTCATGGCGCCCAGGCCGCGGGCGCTGGCTGAACACTGGAGGAGGGAGCGCGGGGATTATAACGCTTCCAGGGAGGGAAGAAAGGAGGAGGGGCGGAGGGAGCGAGAGAGGGGCGGGGGGAGGGAGAAAGGCAAGGGGAGCGGAGGGGTGGGGGTGGGGGAGGAAAGGAGGGGCGGAGGGAGAGACGGAGGGGAGAAAAGAAGAAGG